CGTTCTAACGTCGTTCCTTCACAAAGAGTTGCAAGCAAACGAAAGAAAGAATTATAAAAGAACTAAACATTATAGTCAGCTTACAGACGTCTGACCAATAAGCCGAGGCGTTAAAACCAAATGTTGATAGAATTGTTGCACCAGGAACCTAATAAAGGAAATAGTAAAATATAAATTACTTGGAAAAACACATGACACAAAATTAAGAATTTCACCTACATCAATTTGTAATCCGTATTTCTCTTCTGTCAGCTGAAGATAAACCACCTCATTAACTATCATCGCCTCGAAAGCATAATTAAAGAATGACAAATTTTTCAACCAAGCCAAATAATCAGGAATAGATTCTGAATAAGATAAAATAAATAGTGAGCGAAGTTGCTAAAAACGATAATAATCAAAAGTACTAATCCAATGATAAATACCTTTATTTAGCAGAAGTCCGCCAAACAGCATACTAAATAGCATGACTAAACTACTTAGTAAACTGGCCACGCCGACTTCTTTAAAGATTATGCCGATACACAAGCAGATGCTTGCCGCCGTAAGATTGAACAAGATCAAAACCAGTATAAATTTGAAGAACTCGGCGGTGCCATCAACGAGACCGACCATGTGATAAATAATGACACCCATAAGGATAGGTGGTATAACGCGAAGAGGAATAATATCAAATAGAACCTAAATCAGACAATCACATAATAAGTTAAACTGCGTCTACTTAAATTTGATGATAAGGTCAGTTAGTTACCTTTGATGAAAAATAGGTAATTGGGGCGTAGTATCCATTGGCACGTTCTTTGACGAATATGATTCTTTCGGTGGCAAACACATGCAACGAACTCAGACAACCAAAACCAAATAAAGCGCACATGAAGAACAGTACACCCATACGATTTTGGAAACCGGCAATGTCATTGGTCACCCGATAAAATAACGCACCACATAAAACTGAGTGCATAATGTCAAATGATGTTAGTTGAGAAATATAAATAAAAAATAAAAGCTCAATAAACTTACGAGCAAGGTAAACACTGATACAATAGTGCATTAACATTAGCATTGGATTTCTGTATAAATTCTTGAATGTTCGGTTAGATAAAATACGGAACTGCGTAAACCATGAAGCACGTTCGTGAGAGTTGACAACTGATTCTTGCGTGGATATAACCGGCTGTTGATCACTTAATATAATGAAGAATGAGAATAAGAATAACAGCCGAGCATATACTAATACTTTCATAGACAGGATCATTACCTGTGTACAACACGGTCAATTTCATCTTTGATTCCGAGTGCAATCAAACTCCGACGATAGCTGGTCACTAACATGCGTAGGTGTTCACTTATGTCATCACTAAATTCATTTATATTTATGTCAGCGGAATCGGCATTCGACCCATCTCGATTACTCAACTCGATCGGTATCGAGTCATTTAAAGAATTTTCAGATTGTGGTTGATGTGGTGAGTACAGTTCCAAATCCTGAATGTCATGAATCGAATTACGAAGTGGTTGTCGAATTGACGGTGTGGTCTCAACGGGTGCTATGGCCGTAGAAATTCCGTTATTGTTTTCCTCACCGTTTGCATTGTGATTTTCATTTGAGCCCTCATGTGGTTTTGCCGCAAACATCGTTAAATCAACTAAATTTTTCAAGATTCAAACTTCTCAATAAAAGGGAGATCAAAATACAATATATCGTAATAACTTACCAAGAAAATCAGCGATGTTAAATCCTGGTGGACATTTATGACCAATCTTTTCAAAATACGACTGGCATTTGCTCGCATCACCAGAATATACCACATAGCCATTAGCAAGCAATACGAGTTGATTAAACAATGCAAAAATATTGCTTCTGGGCTGGTGAATCGTAAATACTACAGTTCGATTGTAATTCCTTGCAAGTGTAACAAGACATTCAATCACGTTGTACGCATTGTAAGCATCTAATCCTGAGGTTGGTTCGTCAAGGAAAAGGATTGAAGGAGACGTGACTAATTCACAGGCTATGGAGACACGGCGCTTCTCACCACCGGAAATAGACCGCGCACCTGTAATCATAAAATCGATTGAATCCGTTAAAACAATGAGGTTCAAGGTGTAAAAAATAAATAACAATTTTAAGCATCAAAAATACCAGCATCCCCTATTCGGGAATCTTTGATTCCTAAAATTCCTAGTTCACTCATTGTTTCTAACACCCTAAACCTTTTGGCTTCAAAAGACATCTCTCTAGGAAGTCGCAAGAGTGCGGAATACAAAATTGTCTCATATACGGTCAATGTTGAAAGAAGATGATCCTCTTGATCGACATAACTTTAATAAACGATTGGTAAATTTCTATCTCAATGTTAATCGGATACCCATCAAAGAAAAAGTTCAGGACATACCCAACCACCTTCTTAAAAACTTCATCTTCAACGGTTCTTCCATTAACATATATTTCTCCTCTGATAGTACCTGCCTTATTTTTCCGAGCCAAAATATCAAGGAAAGTAGTCTTTCCCGCACCGGAACCACCCATTATTGCCATAACCTCACCAGGTTTAACTATGCCATGTATCGAGTTGAGAACTTGCTTTTCTCCAACATAATAACTGACATTCTGAAATAGCAAAGTTGCCGGTATGTGGTCTGTCATAAGTTTACCGGCTTCATCATCATCAAGACGTATCTGACCATAGGATGATGGACTCCAATGACGAGACAAGTAAAAGACAGCTGAA